CTCAGTAATTATGATAAAGGCCAATCTATGTACACTTGGTCTACTAAACATCTTAATATTTGAATTTTTAAGACATTTGAATATGCAAGTTCCGTGAATGTCTTTTATAGATCCAGTAAATTATAGTACGTTATCACATGACTATTAAAAAAAGAACGAGAAACCCTACTGATCAAGTCGACAAATTATACACATACATCATACAATACAACTGTTTACAAATATTTATTGTTTGCAGATGTAGTATTAGAAAAGATACAGTATAAGTAGTAATGTGATGTGGCATGGAAAAGCACTGAGGTCAATGTCGACACATATGTACAGAATTTACGAATCTCAAGAAACTTTGGTGCTTCTGAGATACCGCCGTTGATTTTAATTCACTAAACAATTATGTGAGGAGTGTACATCCCAATGTTCAATAATCCTACGAACTGGTGATCCATACTTTTCGTCGGATAGTGTAAAAGCGACAGTCAACTATAAACGTTTACGAATGTATATTGTATGACAAAGAAATTCTAGAGCGAATACTCTAATAAGGGGAACAGTGTGCAGTTTAAATTAGATAGAATATCACTAGTAGTCCGATAAGCATGCACAAAACTAAAACATACATCACTTAAGAATCAAGTTAAAAATTCATAAGCATATAAAATATAGTTATTACACAATTGATGAAAATTTAGTGCTGAATAGCAACAATAGGGAACTCAAGCTATTGCTATTGTGGTGACGGAGAACTCAGGTGGTGGAAAACCAATATACTGTTTTACATAAAAACAAACAATGGCTTTGTTGTATATGTAAACTGTAAATTAAATAAATCATCCTTTCGATCCTGTTGTTATTGTGACTGTTCTTCGTTTTCCTTCCTCTTCTCTTTATTTGATTGATCTTCTGGTAGGTGTTCTACTTCTAACTCTTGCTACATACTACGTACGTCTGTCTGTATAAGTAGTGCACACCACAGTGTTAGCAGTAAAAATACAATGTCTATCAAACATGTAATTGACTATATGAACTGAGTAGATCAATGCATAAGACGTTGAGATATGAAGCCACTAGTACTGTGTTCGAGTGACGGAGTGAGAACCAACACTTGGATGCAAGTAAATCAAATTCAAAATTCCTAAATAAGATAGCGCCAATTCTGGATTGCACTGCTATCCATGATGCATTTTCACTAGAAGTAACTTTGCTCTGTATCAACATATTCCAGTATAGACTGGTCAAATGCAGTCCTTAATCTTAGCAACCAGAAAACATAGTTGTAAAGATGGAACGGGTATTCGGAGTTGATAACGCGTTCACACGTAACACCTTTAGAATCAAAGTATGCCAATCTAGTAAAATCAGAAGTCAGAAATGAAGGGGTTGGAAGGTATAATTAGAAAGCTATTAATATGTCTAGAAGCGTTTGATTTAAGCTGGCTCACAATTGCAAGGAATGCGTAGCACGGCGCACATACTCGTGTTCTGGTTTGAATGAATGACCGAGCTCTTTTAGCTAAGGTTTGTCCAGTGAACGTTAAGAGGTCAACATCAATGTTGAATACTTGCAGAACTTTTTATTTTGGGGATTCATTCATCCCGATGGACCATTAAAAATCATAATAATCATCACTCGTGATCACAATACTTATAATGAGCATAGAGGGTTTGTGGAATTTTTAATATTTTCATTAGGGAAGTCACGGATTGATCTTAACCAGACCATTAGTGAAAGCCTGGGAGTTCTGAAGAGCCGTTTTGTCCTGTTACGAGACTTCTCAGAAATGCACACACACGACTCGGAACAGGGGGACCAAACCCTGGACCTTCGATCCCGTGCCCGATCGCCTCACATCTAGACTACTGAGCTGTTATCCCACGGTGTTAATATTCAGTTAAAATCAATCCACGATCTTGCACAACCCTTAGTCCATTGCCTTCAGTGGATGACTGTTTCTCACTCGACATGGATTGAACTCTACGAATCCCAGCTTCTCATTAAAACTTCAAGAGAAATCTTGAATCTAGTTACCAGTGGCACACGATTATTATTATTATTATTATTATTATTATTAGTGGTAGTAGGTATACTAATAGAGAGGACTTATTGAGATCGAAGATGCTGGGTTTGATTCCACTATGTGAAATTATAGATGTACACTGTTGAAGAGTCATGTATGATGACGAAACGGTATTTCAGTTCTTCCAGATAACAGTGGTGACCCCAATTAAGATGAGTTCCTGATATGAGTGTTGAAAATAGTAATAATCATTAGAACGATTTTCTGCTAGCTTTTCATGCAGTTATTGTTATCCTTATCGTTCAGCACTTATTATTCTTGATTACAAAGAATCAATAAACGAGTTTCAATGTCATCATTTACTTGTCTTATTTATCAATTTCTGTCCATATTTTCTTCTGTATTCAATAAACAATATTTTGTAATTATTTATAAAATTTATGCAAATTTTAAGGCATAATCAAGTTAATAATAATGGGGATGTTACAAGGATAGAACAGATTTATAATATTAAATTGTTTGAATTGATGTAGCTTAAAAAATCTTTTGACAGTACCATTTATCACCAAGATTAAAACAATATTAAGAATTATCCGGGAACCAGTAATTCTTTGTAAGGGTGGGGGGTGTATTAAAACATCTTGTGGATATATAAATATTGCATTTGTAGTGACTTATTTTTATCAAGAGAACGCGACTGGTTTATTGGAAACAGTTATTATTATAACTAGTTGTACCAGTGATGTTTTCACTGTTCTTGTATGTTTAACTGTACTAAAGACAATTATTATTCTTTCCGTTGATTGTGACCTTGCACGGACTTACGTTTGCTCAGTGAATCCGCTTGTACTCCTTTGGTACGATCTCGGCATTGTTTAGATAGCACGAGATCACAAACAAATATACTCCGCTACAACCTCCAATTGCCTTCTGATATCTGATACGTAACCTTCTTCTAGTGGTCATCACAGTCAACCGCGACTCGACACCATGCTACAATTGGTGAACCCAATAATACCAACAATTTCCAATCGAGTCCAAATCTTCCAAAGAAGCCAACTGCGGTTAGTCTATTACTTATCTATCCACGTCTGTTGCATATTTTCATACTGATATTTTTTCAATATATAATATACTGGTAACAACTTGACATGACGGATAACGATAAGAATAGTATTAATATAACAGACTCTGACGTACAGGTTGTCCATTGTCAACCTGTATCTTTTATCCCTCACGACCCAGAAGTTTGATTTGCTGCGTTGAAGTCTCAATTCGAGACCCGTCGCTTTACGAGCCAACGGCAAAAACATGCCTACGCTCCGGAATCTTTACCAGGTGGCCCTCATAGCAGACAAAATATTGGCAAGGACTGTCAATCGAGACAACTACATAGTTGCCTCAGTGTCACGTTCGAACGTGAATATGGACGCTAGTCACTTCCCGGCTCAAGGTGATAGAAAAGGTTGTATTCATACACTTCTCAGCTTTCCAGACCGTTGCAACATACCCGAACCCTACGTCTCTCGAGTCAGATCGCGCTCTCGAAAAGCCGCAACCACTCGCCCAACGAGGGCATCTTCCGAGTCACGCCGAAAGGCAGATTCGGAAGCGAGTGGCGGTCGGTGCTGGTTTCACCGCTCCTCAGGGTTCGGTGCCCACTGTTGTCGAGCCTCGTGCCCATACAAGGCTGGAAACTCCAAAGCCGGCGAGTAAAAGCGGCCGTAGTCCCCTGCCCTTCACCCTTGGTTGGTCGTTTATTTTATGTGCACGATTATCGCACGAACGCAAGGTACTTAGCAGATACTGGTGCTCAAGTTTCTGTCGTACCTCTTGTAACAGTAAGTCACAAGCTACGACGCTTCAACTATGAGCTGCGAATGGCTCAGCCATTCCTACCTATGGTACACGACAACTCACGGTCAACCTGGGTAACCGACAACAGTATCTGTGGACGTTCATCATTGCCGACGTTCCCACAGCCACACTCGGTATTGTTTTTCTACAGCACTACGAAATGCTAGTCGATTCACGTAGGCTGCAGCTAATTGATACTTCATTGAAAGCTAACCTGTCCGGTGCTAGTCGGCGTGGTCTTGCCATGGCTGGGGGTTCGCAGGTGGTGTACCACACGATTGGTCACCAATGAAATCTCCTCGAGTGGTTTAGTTAATCTGGGGAATTTCTCGAATAAAGCGCGGAATATGTTGTCACGCGAATAAAAGGTGCCTAGGATTCGTTACGCATTTGTGTGAGCTTTGAGGCCCATGAATTTGCTGTTTGAGTGTCCTCAAGTCTGCCGTTCGCTTCATAAAATCGAATGATTGTTTCGGAACTATACTGTCCTCCTTTGATCACACGCAAGAATACCTATATAAAAAGTGGGATTTGCTTAAAATAATTTTAATTACAGAAACCAATCATCCTTACTAGAGAATGGAACCCCGAATAATTAGTACTCAAGTAGAAAAAACTTGATCTCTTCCAAAACCTACCTAAAATACTTTCGCTTTCTATGCCAACCTGTGTAAACAAGTTTTCTGAAAGCACAAAAATTCAAACAAGATTGCAGAAAAATCAAAAACACTTTTCTCTACTTTTGAAAATAATGAGTGGACCCAATAAAGGTGGCGAAGTTCGCAGCAAGGCTCAGACAGAGTCAGTGCGTGCCGTTTTACAGTCCCCTGTTGGTCGTGTACATTTTCTTTCAAATAACGGTACTTACTCTGGGGGAGTTGGTGTTGATGTTCCGGTTTAATTGGCCAGAGTTTTCGAATACCTGGCTGCAGAATTTATGGAATAAGCTGGTATTGCTTCTCGTGACAAGAAGACTCGCATCTTTCCAGGACATTCACAGTTAGCCATTTTCAACGATGATGAATTGAACGAGCTTCTTGGTGGAGTTACTATAGCACACGGAGATGTTCTTCTAAACAAACATAATACGTTGCCTAAAGATATTGTCTATTGAAACACTTTACCGCTGGACGTGAAAGTAAGCGTTACCTTGCGGTTGCTTTCGTTATGTATGTGATAATCTGTGATTTTTTAAGTCTCATTTCCTTAACATGATAAGCTCATCAGACTTGATATAACTATATTCAATGCAAATCCTTCAGCATAAACGGTACGTTTATAGTGCGCAAAATATAATTTTCTGTCCAACTAACTGATATCAGTTAGACCATATATATGGTCTAAGCTGTACAGGTTGATATAAATATGAAATGATACTAGACGACAGTACTTGTGATGCAATTCCAAGTATCAAAAAGTGGCAATCTGCTTAATTTAACTGACCGAATTAATTTTAGGAGTCATTAATCATCTTCACAAGCCGGTCTTGGCCGTTGGTTATTTTGGTTTACTGGCAAAACACCTTATTATTGTTTTGTTAGAACCTTGTGTTCTTATTTATTTTACGCTTAACTGAAACTTGAAAATGCTGTGCGATAGAAAACCAGATAAGTCTTAAAACTAAACAATGTTCACACGAATACACTTTTTCCACACAGTCTAGGTTCTAAAGTACAAGATTTCTTCTAGGTATCATACACCTTTTACCTTATTTGTTTCTCGAATTGGTGTCCATCGATTACAGGGCTTTATGCTGCTACTAATCAGACATACTATGGTACTAAAATGACTACTCAAAGATGAAGTCATGAAAAGGATTATAAAGAATTATCCGAAGCTTGGAAGATAATTGACGTCGTCCATGAAATTCCACTATCAGTTTTCGAATAAGTATATTGACAGACATAAATTCCTGTCTCTGCCTTTTCCATGATTGTTTTCTTACCTGAAAAGCATTTGATCGGAAGGAATAAAACTTGCATGTGTGTTGGTAAAATCCATGATCTTTAGAAAGAAAATCTGAAAAAGGTCTTTTTGGGTGAGAGTTTTTAGGGGTAGTATGATGATCGGACATGAGTTTTTACCGACACCGAGGGATCGTATGAAGCACTTGATTGAGGTGTGTTAGCTCTACTGTAATAATTCCCGACAAAATCTCAACACGGACTTAGAAACTTCCTTTATGATTCATCAACCTACGACACCCATGAAGCAAGAGAGACATTCAGGAATAATGCGTAACAGTCTACTTTGTATGCCAAAGTTGACGGGGTTTATTGTTTCTTACTTATACGATAAAGTTTATCAGTACAAACAAAAGCAGGAGTTCGGGTCTGCAAATCATATTTTTATAAGGTATTTGTAGATAATTATACACTGGAAGGCTTACAGGATGAGTGATCAACTTGTTTAGTCAGATATTATGTCCATAATTCTTAAACGTTACCCCAGCGGACAAATCTGTCACATTTGGTGTACATTTCTCAAACTTTGGGTGTTCTGAAACAATATGATCCCTTTTAGTTTATACAGGATCTAAGATACGTGTACTAAAACAACAAATACTGATGTATTTATTTGAACATGAGTGAAGCTGTAGCTTAGTAGCTGAAACACATATTATTAAACCGCTAAGTAGTATCTCTAAATCTTGCTTCATCTAATTTTTCTCAGCATCTATGTAGGATTCTGATCCCTCACACAGAAATTGTGTAGTTCGAAACAAATGCATGATTTTAAACTTGAGTTACTTCATTCGGCTATGAATTACATAGATCCATACTTATATAGACCAGAGTAAATTGAGTTATTTTGACATGAAATACCATGTCTATCAAGATCTTATTAAAAAGACTTACCAATAAGTGTAGTCATCCTTTATTGTTATCGACGAATAATAGAGCTTTTGAAATAGAAAAAACTATTCTAACCGGTCCAATCAAAGTAAAACTTCAATGCGTAAGATAAGTTCTGTCAAAGAATTTACTTATACTTAAACAAGTATGATCTCACTTTCAAACTTTTCAGTAGTGAATATAACTTACTGTTTTTATCATTATAGGTAATCATGAACTGTAACACACAAAACCAATCATCAGATGAATCAGACAAACTTCGTAAAACAAGAGAAAAAGAGAATAGACAAACAGCTATTTGTGCTAACTTTGACAAATCAATCGTTCTATGGAGTCCAGGCGATATTGGCAGTATGGTATTACATGAGGGTTTCAATCTACATAGAATGCCAAAAAACTATCTTACAAGGAAATCCTACATCGAAAAACTAATCTACCATGCTACAATGTCAGATTCAATCAAATCTCCATTTGCTGGGTTTGTTGCTACTGTTTATTTATACCAATATGAATTTTACTATTAGATTCAAAGTAGCCAATGAATATTTAAATGAACTGGATCATATTGATGTAATCAGTGGGATCAAAGTAATTTGTTCAATCTTATTGTATATGCTAACTTTTTTTGTAGACATTCAAATCGTTTATTCGATCTTTTTTCAAAAATAATAGTCGTACATCAACTATGATTCATAAAATAGGAAGAACATGGCTTCTGAATGAATTCGATATTGATTCATTCTTGTTATCCGGAGGTGAATGTGTATGTTATATTCTTATTTTCACTCAGATAATTTCTTCATTTTTGTAGCACGAATGGTTATGGCTTCGTGAATTTCTAAAAAAGGAAGATTATCGTTTGTGTTCTCATTCATTGTCACGTAATGTGTTGATTTCAAATGATCTTGAATCGAAATTTCTATATCATACGTAAGTATCTGGTTTCATTGTTTTATTTGATATGTTACTTTTATTTTGTTTCCTCTCGGATAGGGTTTTCCAATCCCCTGAACTTGGCTTGAAAAAAATACAAATGTTACAACCAAAAAGTTTACCTTCATCAAGTGGTAATGACCACGCTGGAAATGAAATCACTAAAGAAGTAGCTTGCACTCGTTTGGATCCGAGTTCTGTTGGGGTTGAACATTTGTCCATGGTAGACGTCGCATTGTCATCATCATTGGATGATACAGTTACAACCAACAATGCTGAACAAAATAATGAAAGTAGACAGTTTCGATCATCATGGGTTATAAATCCAGATCAATATCTTCATACTGCTGAATGGCAATTAAAAGATCTCAGTTTTATTGTGGGCTCTGATATGCCTATATTCGGCACACCGAAACATCCTTGTATTAGTCTAAAATTAAGTCCATTACATGAGTCGATTAATGTTTTAACCGGAATTGATGTATGGCTTGAAAATATTATCAATGAAGTCCCCGAAGTGGCTATGTGTTATCATCATGAAGGTATCGTCATGCAAGAATATGAAATTTACAAAACATGTGAAATTCCACCGATAATTGGATTTGAAACGGAACAAATTAATCAAATTATACGTAATTTAGTTATGTTTTTAAAACGGAATGCCACACAAGAAGGTCATACATATTGGCTTGTAAAAGAACCTGGGTTAGGTGTTGTTAAACTATATGATTTGACAACTTTAGGTTATAAAGAATTTCTAAATAAATGTTCAGAGGAACCTAATGGTCGAGAGGCATATATGAAAGGTGAGATTATATGAAGTCTAGTAATGTATTTTTAAATAGTTTTATATTACAATGCTTTTCTTCGTGCTTAATCGGCTAGTGTTCTGCTAAATTTTTACGGTCATCTATTGAAATATTTACGTAGTCTGTTTAATAAACGTGCAGAGTGCGGTTATGAAGGCCTTACTTCATGAAATTTATGGTACACCAATTTTATACCCTCCCAAATACTCCCAACTTACAGCAATACACTTATCCTATCGCCGATTTCATTGTCCAAAAGATATCTAGATGTCTTCAAAATTCAAGCTATTCAGTTGCTTGGCCGTTGTTTCAATGGGTTATCACTTTAAACAGTTCTCAACATTTACCGAGAGTTCACTTTTGCCCATACTAAGCAACATTAATAGATCAACTCGCATTCATTGAACAGACTGTGTTTAGCTTGAGGACTCTATTGTTACTCCGAAAAACACTAGATTTGTAAAATCTCATTTTCGTGCTTTATATCGGGCTGTGGGTATCAACATCAAGTTTTATAATATCTGGGATTTGTGTATAATGAACTACTTTTTCACGACTCACTATACTGCTCACTGCTTATACTGACTAGTGAAAATCATACTCACTTGTTAAAAATGCTGCAAATGGTTGTTAGTAAAACATTTAAAAATCAAATATCTTGCAACATCACGTGTCCGCTTCTTTCTTTATTTATTTGAACACAAATGTTGGTACAAGGGGGCACCAGATATATATACGCCACACAATAACAATGAGAAAGTGAAGATATAAAGAATGTAAGGTGCATATGAGAGAGAAAAAAAGAAAAAAAGTGAGAACAATAACGATCACAGATTAGTTTATGGTGGTGTAATAATAATAATAATGGGGGAAACAGAAAGGTACAACCACAAAGAATTCTTTCAGTTGAGGAAGTTACAACCACTTTTTATAAAGAAGGTTACAGCAGGATCGCCACTGGCTTCTATTCTGAGCCATATCTGATAACGTCTCTAGCCACTGTGTTGCGCCATCTCTCCAACCCCGGTCAGGGAGTCGAGAAGAACCAACAGAAGCCAGTCCTTTGCAGCTTTTTTTCATACCACGACACCATGTCATACACTGACCACCTCTCCGCTTCTTCCAACCAGTCCTAGTGTCGGCAAATAATGCGCGATGTGGAATTCGCTGGGACGACATTCGTAGAACATGTCCAAGCTACCGAAGTCGATGTTTCAAGATGGTGACACCAATTGAATTATCGTCTCTGTGCCCGAACACACGATGTTGAACCTCTGTATTATTAAAATGGTGTTACCACTGGATATCAGCAATCGTTCGAAGACAACGATGATCAAACACAGAGAGTCATCTAACATACTGAACTCGAATAGGCCATGTTTCACAAGGATAGAGCAGAACTGCTCTCACCGACGTGTTGTAGATCCGACCTTTTACAGCGAGACTGACATAAGGAAGGCGCCAAAGATGGTGCAGATTGGCATAAGCCTCTCTGGCTTTGATTATACGTGAATCGATCTCATGACTCACGCCACCACCAGCACTTATGCAGCTACCTAGATACACGAACTTCTCGACTACTTCTATCTGCTCACCACCCAGGGTAAGTGTAGGATTATAATTCTGCCAGTCTTGTAGAAGTACTTTTCACTTGGAAGGTGCAAAGCGCATACCGTAGCTACGGACACTGATTGCCAACTGAATGAGTGTTGATTGCATGGTTTGGGCATTATCGCACAGTAAGACAATATCGTCCTCATACTGGAGGTGGAGAAGTCTTTCTTCATGCAACAGATCCACACCGCCATTCCTTACATCTATCAGAGCTGTTTCCAGAACGTCGTCGATAGCGAAGTTGAAGAGGGATGGTGAGATTGAGCAACCCTATCTAACAATGGAGTAAGGTGGTTATATGCCCTCACTCTACCTGAGGTGTTTGTATATAGGGCCTTTAGGATGTTAATAAACTTCTCAGGCACACCCTTCTTCAATAGACAATCCCATGAGACAGTCCGCTTCTAACAATATTTCTATATTCAGCTTCGTTGCAGATACATTAATGGAATCAATCGTCCCTATCTATCTTCTGAATGGTTAATCTCTAGTCCACGCATTGTATAATCGAATTACATTGTTCAGAAAGAACATCCTTGTTTTACTGAGGTTGCGAACAGGATGCAACTTTATTGAGTGACGCATCAAGAATTAATTCATGCGTTCTGGTTCTTAGTTTAACAACAGAATAGCCCATTTTATTTTGAAGCATAACCACGGTCACTAAAAGCTACTCCTATCAAACTAACCTTTTTTAGTTATAGTATGTTATGTAAACGCATCTAACAATGTATGCTTAAAACACTTGCTTTCATAGGTTAGACATACTCTATGAATTTCTTCCTAACCGCTTTCACATAGTACATTATTTGGGGATGTTGCGACTGGGTGGTGAAGCGGAGAGCTAGTTTATGACATGGTTTTATGGTATAAAAGAAAGCTATAAGGGAGTGGAAAATGAGTTGGTTCATCACGATACCATAATTGAGTCCTTGAATTAGTGCGATTCATTGGCTTCAGACCTAATCAGTCCATGACTCAGAATAGATGTTAGCAAAGATCTTACTGCTGTTTTCTGTTGCATTTATCAACCCGTTATATACTGCTCTATAACTTTAAAGAGGAGAGTAAAAGTTTTCAGTTCTTAGCTTTTCTCTTCCAAATGTTCATACGAGTCAAAACTGTTACAGTATTATTGTCGTGCATAATTTGTAAAGTTTACATCCGATCTATATTCTCTTAAATGTAGATTATTATCAGTAAAAGTTCATTGAGTTTTTTTTTCAAAATTCACTTTTGCATTTTTTTACTTTCTTTTTAGACAATAACCCATTTATCCTGCCTGTTGCATCATTATGCTATAAATTAGCTGAAATTCGTGTTAAAGAATATATACATTATCGTGAAACTCAAATTTTTCAATCAACAACTTTCGATTCTTTTAATTCAACATCGTCATCATCATCTCCACGAAGATATTCAACTGACAATAATGATTTCAATGAAATAACTACTGTTATGGATGCTTTACGTTTATTGAGAAACTGTTTAAATTTAATATCAGTTCATGAAAATTTTTCTAATGTGTCAGATCTATCAGGTTTATCATTTAATCCAGCGACTACATCACCTGGAATACAAGATTTAAAATTTCGTGCAGTATTATTACTATGTCGATTGTATCTAATTACACCTACAAATGTGATTATGACATGTTTTAAAGATATACAAGGATTGGTATGTGCAAGTCGAGAGGTAAGTTCTTCCTAATAGAAAAAAGAACAACAATTGAATTACAAATATATTTGTAAGATTCTATTTGATGAATTAGCTAAAGAACCTGATTTTTAGTGACTTTCAAGGATATTTTAATTAGTGTGAATAAATATAGGGCAAGTATTCTAAAGGTGTTGATATTCTAATTGGAGAATAGATATGAATATCTGATAAGATGTGTATCTGAACATAATTACTATACTTACTTACGCCTGTTACCCCTCATTGGAAAAGCATAGGTCACCCACGAGGATTCTCCATCCAACTTTGTCCTGGACAATCATTTCCAGTTGTTATCCATCCTTTTCATTACTGCTTCCAATTCTCGACGTAGTGTGTTCTCTAGCCTTCCTCTTTTCCGCTTCCCTTCAGGATTCCAAGTTAACACTTGCATCGTGATGCAGTTTGGTGATTTCCTTAACGTGTGTCCTACCCACTTTCATCGTCTTTTCCTAGTTTCTTCACCTGAAAGCTGGTGTGTTCTCCCCCATAGTCGGTTGTTGCTGATGGTATCGTACCAACAGACATTGAGTATCTTGAGTAGACAATTGTTTATGAATACTTCTACTTTCTTGATGATGATTGTATTAGTTCTCCAAGTTCCAGCTCCATACACCAGAACTATCTTTACGTTCATATTGGAGATTCTGACCATAAAATTATAATAACTAATCTAAATTAAAATCAATCTAATATCCAATGCATTTCTTATACAAAATAGCGATTATTTTATTTCATGTAACATTTGAATTCTTATTGAATCATTATTATATAATCATCATTTCATCTAATTGTATATCACTCTACTGCATCTTCTTTTTGTTATGTTTATGTAATAAATATCGTTTTAATGGAGTTTTGTTCTCTGAGCTGGATGGTTTGGTCAAAAAGAACCAATCAACATTAAAGTGTACAGAACAAGCTGTGAAACACATATGGAGAAATTCGAACACTTCACTTCTATCTGAAGTTTGTGCTGATGATGTCGTTCAGAAGAACGATGAAAGCTCCACGACCAAACCATCCAGCTCAGAGAACAAAACTCCATCAAAATCATCCACCTGAGCTACAAATCTTCTCCACCATCTCAAATATCGTTTTATTTCTTTCATTGATAGACCGTTAGTGTAAATATTGAACAATTTGGAAAATCTTTGAATTCTTCAGAATTGAATACATTTACTTTATCTGATGAAAATGAACAAATTACTGGCACTACTACTAATGATAAAAATTCAACATTAGTTTCAATCAATTCCAATCGTAATTATTTAGGTTCAATGATTATTGATGCACTGAGGAAATCGAATACATCGCAACTTTCTGAATTAGCTATATCAGTGAGTAATATATTTGTTTTCATCAAATTAATTATTTTTGTAATAATAATAATATTAATCACTAGAACGGATATTGTACTCAGTGAGTTATATATTGGGGAATGAAGTATTTCCAAAAATGTAGACGATACCGGAATCATTCAAAAAGGGATGCCTAAATCTCAACTGTGACTGATCAATTATAATTTCGATTATCAAAAAACTCAAACGGGAAGTTATAAATTCATCAATATTCACAGTTTAGTTCATTGACTGATCTGCGTTAGACTGCTACGGAAAAACCTGAGAGTACTGAAAGCGTGTTTCGTTCCAGTAGTGCCCATCCACAACTCCGCGACCGGAAATCGAGCCCAGGCCCCTCGGTCTCGTGCTCGAATCTTTAACCTCTAGACCACGGAAACCAAAGATCTTGTGCTCGATTCCCAGCTGCAGAGTCGTGGTTTCACAATACTGAGGAGTCCCGTATTAGGACGAAGTGGCCATCCATTGCCTCCAAGTTTTCGATGGTTGTCTAACTCAGATTTGTTCGTTGTATCATTGAAATTCAACAATCCCCACAATCCTACACATATATATTGTGGATAGGGCGTTTGACTTTCGGTTACTAAGTCCCATGTTTGTACCCATCTCTTCCTTCCTTGGTTCATGCATCCAGATAGTATCATTAGTCATCATACTTATAGTGTCTTTCTAAACCAAGTACACAAATCTGTTTCTCGTAAATGTACTGATTTTTCAACTTAGTGATCAATTTGTTGCTTTGTCCTCCTTTGTTTTTCTTTTGAATAATACAGATTCTTGGCTCCTTCAATCGTAATCTCGCTTATGGTCACCATCGATCTAATCTAACCAATACAAATGATCGGGATAAAATGCTCACACCATATTCCTCATCAGTAAACAATCATCACCACCAAAATTGTTCTGCCGAGAGTTACGATAATGACAGTATAATGAATAAAAATAATGAAATGAATGACTCACAAACGTATTCCTTACCATTTGCTGTATTAAAATCTTATATTGCTAAGTCAGAAGAATTATGGTTCATGGTATATCAACAAATGCATCATACTGATACCATATTGAATCCAATTGTAATTGAATCATTAAACATGATATTTCAATATACTTTACCAGCTTTAATGCTTCTTGGTAAGTAAAATAATTTGAATAAAAGTGGTTTCTGGTACAACTGTTCATTTACCTTTGCTTTACTTTTGTACTGGCGCGCAAGACCAAGGGCTCTGGATTCTAGTCCCGCGTGCGGGATCGTGGATGCGCACTGCTGAGGAGTCTCATACTAGGACGGAATGGCCGTCCAATGCTTCCAGGGTTTCAATGACGGTCTAACATCGATCGTTTCATGATCTCAATTAATTTTTATTCATTTGTCTAACAGTAAGATGTATTATTGCCGAGTTCTTATTCGCTTACTTACTAGGTATTATTATTATTATTATTATTATTATTATTATTATTATTATTATTATTATTATCTTGGCTGCATTCATTCCAATTTATTTAATATTTATCGGTTATTTTATTAAGATACTCTTAGAAAATAACCTTTTTCTATCTTTCTCCACGTTTTTTCTACTGTTCAATTATGTTTATTATTCACATCATAATCGTTCTACTTTGTCTGATAAGTGGTTGGCAAACACTGAACATTTGTTTCGTGCTGGTTGGTACTCATCAGCAAGAGATACCTACAATCCTGATGGGGCACATTCTCCCTCCGTAATTAGAACCCACGTTACCTAGTTTCACAGTCTAAGATGTTACCACTAAGTCCATGACTGATTTCTTATAGGATTGAGAGATTTCCAACTAATTGATCAATGAACAGTAACCAATATCATGTTTGTTCTTAGTCTTAATCGAATCAGTTGAACTAATGACCACACTGCAATTTGATCCGTAGAATCTGATTAGTGCTAAAAGATCAGACAAATAGGATATTGGCCATTACTCAGTCTGTTTTTACTCTTGCTAGTATAATTTTTATTTTGTTTTCAATGTTGTTACGATTTCATTGGGATTAATTATTTTAACATTGAGGTTGATTAGTTACTCGCCCGTTTGTTTAGATTCAGTGTTGTTATCAGTGGGGAATAGACTGAATTAGATCATGTTTCATACAGAATTTCGTCGGAGTACTCTGATTGAGTCCTTTTTTAGCTGACCGGAGCTAATGAATAAATTGAGAAGTCCCTAGAATCTTCCTGTGTAAAACTTATGAATAGACTTACATTTTTTATTGTATGAACTTAGTTAACATGCCGTATTGTTTTGAAGTATTATTACGTCCCTGTCCAAGCCGTGTACAGATTTGAGGATCGGTCGAGTGGAGCAGTGTCTGAGGGATACTAGGTAGTCGAAGTAACTGGATCGAATAAGCAAGATTAAATGGTTGTTAAACAAATTATGGCCCCCAAATACCCTGGTACGGTCGAGGGTGGAGAGAGTCTGCCCTCCCTCTCGAAATGCTCTCACATGGCCACGTGTATACAGCCACTTCCACGGAAGTCCTACTAACTAACTTTTCGTGATAGGGGTGTTGTTTTCGAAACTGAAAGAACGAAGAGCGAATGTCCGGCGCTTTAACTGGGTTGGTGAACACGGAGGATCCACCTAGGGGAGTTGGAATATCCTCATTCTAAACCAATGGTGCATATGGGCTACACGACCCTGAGGGAGAAAATGGCGTACGAACCAATTAGTGGTCACCGGCTATCATTAGACTGCATCTCCTTACGTTGATCCACTGCCTTGTGGATCACACCTTAGATCGAAGGCTCCAGGTGTGATCCCCTAAGATTACCACCTGCTTCAGTCTGGGTACCCGGCAGTATCGTAGCCCACACATAAATTAAGTGACTTGTATAGCGCATATGTATTCGGTGCTCCTTTATACCACTATTTATATGTTCAAATAAATAAAACAAATTATGGCTAAGAACTAATGAATGGATCTGTGACGTTTTTACTGATTCTATAGCATGTCGTTCAACGCCTCCAAGCACTGGTTTGATAATCACCCAAACCTCAACCAGATAGTTTTCATTGATCAACATGCCTGAGGCCAACAGTCAGTGAATTCATGGATGGAGTCTACGTTATCATGAACAACTGGCTTCGACTATCATTCGCCACCTATGGCGAAGGCGAGATATCCGTCCATCAATAAAAGGACGAGTATACTGCGCGGCAGTCCGTTCTGTTTTAATTTACGGCAGCGAAACATGTCCATTAAGAGTAGAAGACACTCGTAAGCTACTAGTATTTGACTACAGATGCCTTAGAAATATTGCTGGCGTCTGCTGGGATCACCGGGTAAGTAATAGTAAGATTAGACGCAGGGTATTAGGGAAGGATGGTAAATCAGTCGATGAGGTTGTGAATCTTCATCGACTGAGATGGTTTGGGTCACGTGTTACGCATGCCCGAACACCGATTACCACGACGTGCAATGCTAACCGGTGTTCGGGATGGTTGGAAGAAAGTTAGGGGCAGTCAAACTAAAACGTGGCATCAGTGCTTGAAGTCACTAACTTGTAGTTTGAGCCATGTTGGTAGATGCAGACTACTTGGTTGGGGTCCGCGTGACTATTGGAACCAATGGTTGGAGACTCTTGGTGACATGGCTCAGAATCGATCACAATGGCGTCGGTGTATACACTCTCTATCTTCCCTTAAACTAAGAGATTAAAGTCACTTCATATCTTTCTTTCTACGAACTAATTCTTTCTTCCTGTACTATATCCTTATATGCACTCTTTCTTTTATATATTACCACCATTGACTTAACCACTCCCATGAATCCAGTGTTCATCTTGCTGTGCTAATGCGGTATGGCAACTTGGACCGATGTATATATGTGCCTGGTCCTACGTTGTAGCTGACTGACTGAGTAAAATGGAAGGGGTCAGTAGCAATGATAAACTAAAAGTTGAGACCATGTTTCCTTCATTACATAATACCGGCTTTCCAAGATATATTTGTCGAAAGATTCAACGATAACAAGAATGCGGAAGCTCACTATCTTTGAAATACTTCTGATTACCTTATAAGATGATTTTGAACGTTTGATATTCTTTTTCTATCAAATGATTAGTGTTCACTAGCTCCATATAGATTCACTTCTACCTCTTTTCAACCAGATCATATAGTATTTTTAAATTATATTAGACATAATACGCATCAAACGACCTATAAAACCTGCCTTCACTAGAAGCAGCAGATCAATTAACAAATCCGCAGAGAAATGTGATCAGAGATGAAAGAGCGTTTATTCTTTAGGTGTTACTGCTAAATTTCTGACTAATTAATAATTTATTTATTTATTGTTAACTAATCTCCATCACACACATTTTATCTCCTATTTTTGTACTTTTTTCTAGAACATTTGGTTCCAGATAGGTATATACATTGTTTTACTCCTAATGAACAACATGAAAAACAAATACAACTATCTATGAAAAAACCAATTTGCCCATACTGTTATTCTTCATGTGATCTAATTAAAGACTCATTAGATCGTTGCTGTTTAAGTGATACATTATTCATTGTAAGTTGTCTATTTTCTGCTGCATTTATTTCTTATCCGGAAGCAATTCAACGAACTAATCTTATCACCACTTCAAATCACCATTATCAACAAGATAAAAAGAAGGATTCGGAATTATTAACTCCTTCAGTTGATACGTTTATCATGCAATCAGCTTGTGAACAAAGTAAAATGCAGATGAAAATCTATTTGAATACTGTTTTATCAGGTCCAGTTAAATTATCGAAAAAATTATCATCTAGTATTGAAAAAGTGAGTACACAAGTTATCATGTATTATATATATTCTTTCCTGTTATCTCTTCAGTCGTTTTTACTTCTTTCGATTAAACAAAAAAATATTATCAGTATATGCATTTGTGGAGATTGTAGTGTTTTCACCGTTGAATTCTCGGGTCGATCTAAGCTAGACTACCCCATACTAATAATAATCATGTGCTCACCTCAGACAAGAGATGAAGGGTTGCGCAAGATCATGGATCAATTGGAGTTAGACATTAACACCGTTGGATACCGGTTCAATGGTCTGGAGGTTAAGCGTCCACACGCGAGACGGAAGGTTCTGCGTGCGAGATCGTGGATGCACAATTGTAGGACGAAACGGCCGTTCAATGGTTCTAGGTTTTCGATGGTGGTCTATCCTAAATCGACTCATGAATTCAACTATTAATTTATGGATAGCTTTAGTTATTCGAAGTGAGACCTTTAATAAAAATTATACAGTGCTCCTCTCATTATATAAATAGGAAAGTGATCGGAACTGTTAGATACGATAACCTTAGTGAAGATAAAAAATGTTGCAAATAACTACAGCTTAATTTGCTGTAAGTCACGTTTACAAGTTCACAAATATTTCTTTCAATAGACTTTCAGTTCTACAAAATAACTTGAAAAAAAGCACGTATTACAAAAGTGTTTACATTTTGTTACAGATCATGTGATATCAATCTACAAATAAGAACCATAAACATTGTATAAACGACCTGGTTTTTATTAAGATACAAACAAACTAGAATTAAGTGTTCCCATATCTGCTTACGATTCATTATTATATACACTTCGTATATATACGTATGCCTATGTTTATACAATAGTCAATTTAAGGTTACATTAAGCTTACAACTAACCCTTCCAACCAATGATACTTAAGTTGTTTCCCGATAGATATACTGAAAAGTTGTTTAATATTCGACTAAACTCACGATAAAAGCGGAGAGTAAAAAATAAATAAATTTTTTTCTTGCTTAAAAAATTTCAATATTTATGCATTCCTAAAAGAAATCATCTTTCTTTCAATCGGTCATGTTATTGAATGCTTATTTATTGATTTCCAGCTTTTTTATATGTTACAAAGGGAAAAAAGTGAAAACACTAAGATTTAATTACAGTTGTGATAGCTTAAATGGTTACAACTTTCAATAATGTCATGAACTAGAACCTCGCTTTGTCTACTTGGCTACAAACCACACTCAAAATATGATGCTAGGTAATACCATCCATTTTTCCATACGGAAGTAGGTAGAGCGTGTTTCAAACATGTGATCTAGTGATTGAAGGTCAGGCACCCTAACCACTAAGTCATTGTTCCACTGGCAGGTTCCTCAGAAACTGTGTACTAGCCTCCAAATCTAGTACATAAAACTTTACTTGATCAATGTGTTGCGTTATTGTATTACTTTGCACAGTCGTATATATATATATATATATATATATATATATATATATATATATATATATATATATATATATATATTCGCAGGCACACAGAAAGTTTTATTGTTAATACATCTGGAAAATTAATGAATGTATTTATCGTTAAATCTTCATACCATTAACACCAAGCTACTACAGTAGAAGTCAGTAATATATAAATTTATTGTCTGAAAATATTTTTGTGTTACGCTTCCATTATTATTGGCGTGAAATAGTTATTGGTTTTAACTTGATAGAGTTGTACACTGGTTTAAATACTGTGCTAGTTTGCAGAAGGTATTCGGAAGGTAACTGTGGAGTTAGGTTTCGTATTGGTTGTCACTTGCTAGCCAGGTGTACCTCCAATCTGAGTTACTGAGTGGGACAAAAATGACATTGATAATCAGTGACCAATCAGTTGCGACCATGGTTACTACTCATACCCATTGTTGACACATGATATGTAGTAAGTGTTTCTCTTTTTGGTTGCATTGGCTAGTAACTAAAGCACTTGGATTTAATTATCTGAATGGTAGTTTGTAATGCACCACTGCTTCAACCAATTACTTTGGTTTAATGAACTGTATAATATCTCTAGCCTTTAGGTATCTTCTGGAGATTTAGAGTACCAATCTACATGTGGGAAATGAGTTACTCGTTCATCCTTAACAAATAATGGATAATAATATTTCTTACTGTCAGTAGTTTAGTAAAAATAAAACGTAGATTTTAGTTTGAAAGTCATCAGTTTCAGGTTTAAGTATTTATTTATTTATTTGAACACATAAATATTGGTACAAAGGGGCACTAGATATATATGAGCCGCACAATAATAATGAGAAAGTGAAGATATAAAGAATTTAAGGTGCGTATAAGAAAGAAGTACAACAATGAACGGAAATTAGTGTTTGATAGTAAAATAACAATAATGGGACAGTTCAATTAGCAAAAGTACAACCACAGAGAATTCTTCCACTTAGAGAGGTAATGTTTTTTTTATGAAGGAAAATAAAGTTACAGCAGGATCGCCACTGGCTTCTATTCTGAGCCATATCTGATAACGTCTCTAGCTACTGTGTTGCACCATCTCTCCGACCCCAGACAGGGAGTCGAGAAGAACCAACAGAAGCCAGTCCTTTGCAGCTTTCTTTCATACCACGACACCAGCGTCGGCAAATAATGCGCGACGTGGAATTCTCTTGGACGACATTCGTAGAACATGTCCAAGCCATCGAAGTCGATGTTTCAAGATGGTGACACCAATTGAATTATCGTCTCTGTGCCCGAACACACGATGTTGAACCTCTGTATTATTAAAAAGGTGTTGCCACTGGATATCAGCAATCGTTCGAAGACAACGATGATCAAACACAGAGAGTCATCTAACATACTGAACTCGAATAGGCCATGTTTCACAAGGATAGAGCAGAACTGCTCTCACCGACGTGTTGTAGATCCGACCTTTTACAGCGAGACTGACATAAGGAAGGCGCCAAAGATGGTGCAGATTGGCATAAGCCTCTCTGGCTTTGATTATACGTGAATCGATCTCATGACTCACGCCACCACCAGCACTTATGCAGCTACCTAGATACACGAACTTCTCGACTACTTTTATCTGCTCACCACCCAGGGTAAGTGTAGGATTATAATTCTGCCAGTCTTGTAGAAGTACTTTTCACTTGGAAGGTGCAAAGCGCATACCGTAGCTACGGACACTGATTGCCAACTGAATGAGTGTTGATTGCATGGTTTGGGCATTATCGCACAGTAAGACAATATCGTCCTCATACTGGAGGTGGAGAAGTCTTTCTTCATGCAACAGATCCACACCGCCATTCCTTACATCTATCAGAGCTGTTTCCAGAACGTCGTCGATAGCGAAGTTGAAGAGGGATGGTGAGATTGGGCAACCTTGTCTAAACTCACTGCTTGAATGGAACAATGGAAAGATTTGAACCATAATTTTTTTGGAATGAACAAAGATACAGTTCGAGTATTTCTAGACTGAAGTGTGAAAAATGAAATTGAACTCTTTAATACTATCATTGAATATCGAATTCTTTAATCAATAATCCATCACTGCATAGAAAAAGTATACATTTTAATAATTAATATAAATACACATACAAAAAAAACACCTTGAACTTAGATTAACTTATTTTTGTTATTAATTGTCTTTCATGCATACACTTGTCGGTTATTCTACTCGTCTCATTTGTTTTTCTCGCTCATTTCATTCAGTTTTCTGACGATGATTCTTCTGGTATTTAACAAAATATACTAATTGGTTCAATGCTCTAAATTTAGCCGCTTGTTGTTTACAACGTGTTTTTCTTCAATCGACAAATACTACTAATCGTCAACAGCGCCAACATCATTCACGTAGATCGAACTCGTCAATGATGACGATAATGAAACAACGAGCTAATAAATTTGAATCTTCTCATGATTTAAAAGCGTATATGAATAAATTAAAAATTACCAATGACTGGTGGTCAGTATTAATGAATATGTTTGTATGCTGTTTACGTAGTATGTGGTTGGACTGTGTTAGTGATAATCAAGTAAGTACTAGGTGGTAATTTTTCTTCATAACCAATAATATTATTCACTAGTAAGCAAACAACCAATAAAAAATGGATTTAAACTTCACCCCATCGCACAAGTCAGTGGTTAACAGGACTAAGTGGATAACGCGATGGCGTTTGAAGCGGACGATACTGGGCTCTCGAGTCCCGAAGTGAACATCAACTCTGGAATTCAGGTATATCCAGTTGATGACTGACTCCCAAACAGGATGGAACGCCTACCCTGGATTCCACTGCTAGCCACGATTCGCCTCTGTTAATAATACATTTGACGTACTGGTAATATCGAGGTAATCCGCACAGGATGCACATATACCAATAAGAAACTAATCAATTGCAGTCTTATATTTAAATAGGAAGATGGATTTCGATTTGTTTGTTTTCTTTTTTAATTGTAAATATTTCAAGTAGTTAAGCGACAAAAATAACTAAGGAAAAAGTATGACAGTAAAAGCAAAGACAATAACAATACTAAAACCCAAAATATACACCCTTATAAAATGTAAAGAAAGCATACACACATAAACACATGCACATGTCGACTGTTGTTTACACGTGATATTGAACATTGATGTTGGCTATTATGTCTTTTTTTCGATTAGTTATATTCATTTGTGCGAAGTATTACTGTGTTTGTGTGTGTATATGTGTTTGAACATGTGATCACTCTCTCTAGCTAAGTAGCGGTAAACAATTTTCTTTGTTCATACGTTTAATATATTTATAATTTATTTATTTATTTTTACCTTTCTAAAAGCAGAATTTTTAAGTCTTTTTCTGCAAATTTAATATGATTTTGATGATAGCAAAAGTTTGTAATTTCTTGTTGGTGGTGTTGTTGATATTCAACACTGCCATTTTTTGATCAGTCTTTGACGTTATATGGGCTTTTGAAACGGATCACCTTGATGATAGCCTTTGATCACAAGTGTTTTTAGTATATTGGTATATGGGATAATAGTAATGCAATCCAGAACACATGTGTCATCCTATTTGAGACCTGTCAGCTGGATGTACCTGCCTCATCTCAATGTTAGTGTACACATTTGAACTCGAACCCAGTACACTCCATACATTAGTGCGTTATTCACTGAGCTACTGAGTCTAGGTAGCCATTAAACTGTTCAACGGATATGATGTTTATACTATCATTAGAAAGCGTATAAATTATCCAGTTGTTGGCATTCAAGGTTGAAGTCGATATATACTGCTTGAATTCAAGCACCATACATTTTATCTTCATTTAGTGTTATATGAAGATCGCATAGAAGTGATCCCTAGAAATTTCAGAGCTTTAATCTAAAACAAATAATAACTTTCAAAAAGTCACTAATGTTGGTATACTATATATTTTGGATTACAATCAGAACAAAACAAAAGTCCAGTAATCAACGATTCCTAATGGTGTACTGTAGCTCTCATGATGTGCTGTGCCCGAGTTCAGTACTGATATACAAAACTTCCTGTATGCAAGCGCCCATGGAACTACTGAGTGAGGAAACTAAAAGTGAAGGAGGAAGTTTATTGGACTCAACCGAATCAAATACATAAAGACTCATTAGTTTTTATGTACATATGCATATATATACTCCTTGAAAAATTAAACCCTTTATTGGCCAATAAGGTTCACTTGTCTTTAGTTCAACGTGGCGTTCTCATTTTTGCGTCTTTTGATTGGCTCACTGTACTATCAACTGAGATCAAGATGCAATGAATATAACCTACAGGTTAAACCAACCTCTACGAAATCTATTCAATTAAAACAATAATAATCAGTTCACTAATGATTTACTTAACTATGTTTTTTGATGCGAATCCATGACCGGTAAAGTTCAGATATGTCAAAAGTGAAATAGTTGTCACAAATAACATTAGATGATCGTTAATTGATTGAAGCTGAAACTTTATCATTAGATCCCAACTTAATGGTTCTATTAGTTAACGACCGCTATATGACCTGGTAGTTCTATATTTTATCCCTGACTAGTTTATAGGTGTGTATTGTCGATGAGTTTCATACTGGGGCAGGACACCTGTCCAAATTCCTTCGGTTTTCAGTAGTACCCGAGATGAAATGAACCTGTGACAAACACTACATAAAAATCAAAACAATAAGTTTTAGGATTTTTGTTCAAAACCATGGTCAGATTTGCAATCGAAATCCAAGATTATCATAAAAAATCAACTAGAACTGATTATAAAAGCCGTGGTTTAAAACAATAATAATAAAACAGCACTCAAAAATTAAATTGAGAACTCTTTACAGTCAAATTACAACAAATTAATTAGTTTAACTTTGTTGCTAACCAAGGTCATTTGTAATAGGTTAGAATAAGTAGTCGTAATGAATAATATATGTACAACAGTGCGGAAGGGTTATTTTCAAATGAAAACTTGCCTTGGTGAGTGGCAACTCTGATTGCTTGGTAAATTAGTAGAGCCCTTATTTAATAGGCTACATGCTGTTGTGAACTTTTATCAAATGAGGTGGTTGGTACATGTGTTCTTTATCCCCTACCACCGCCGATGTTTTATCTGGTTTAGGAGTAGGCTGGAAGAAAGCTAGAGGTGACCAAACAAAAACATTTAATCAATCTATAAAGTCACTAACAAATGAACGATCCAGGTGTGGACTACTTGATTGGGGTTCGTGTGCTTATCGTAACCAATGGTCAAACTTTGAATAAAATGGTTCAAAATCGTTCTCTGTGGTGCAGATGCATCCATTCTTTGCCTTCGGATGGTGGTTGGAGGTAGTCAACAGGAAACCCTGAACTCGGGTTTCGTGCTACTTGGCACTCGTCAGCATGGTGTACCTGTAATCTTAAGGGAGCTGGTGCTCCCTGACGGATTCGATCTCGTGTCACCCAGCTTCACAGTCAGCGATGTTACCACTGAGATATCTGGGCCGCGACCAACCTCCTGTAGAACTGAGATGTAATCACAGTTGATTGATCACTCGGTGGCGATCAATGTCATGTGTGTCAAGTCCTTCTTAGTGCATATCGAATGCTATCTGACTATGAAGCTGGGCGACACGAGATCGAATCCGTCAGGGAGCACCAGTTCCCTCAAGATTACAGGTACACCTTGCTGACAAGTGCCAAGTAGCACGAAACCCGAGTCCAGGGTTTCCTGTTGACTACCTCCAACCACCATCTAATCTCAACATAGTGCACGCAATGTCGAGTCGCTTAGTTTATTTTTTATTTTATTTGAACACATAAATATTGGTACAAGAGAGCGCCAATATATATGCGCCACACAAAACAATGGGAATTCGAAGAGAAGAAAAAAAAAAAAACTAAGGAACGCAAAAGAAAAAGAGAGTAATGACGATAAGGTACAATCAGAAGAAATCTTTCAGGTAAAGGAGACACAACCACTTTTTATGAAGAAAGTAAAAGAAGCTTACAGCAGGATCGCCACTGGCTTCTGTTCTGAGCCATATCTGATAACGTCTCTAGCCACTGTGTAGCACCATCTCTCGGACCCCAGCCAGGGAGTCGTGAAGGACCAACACAAGCCAGTCCTTTGCAGCTTTCTTTCATGCCACGACACCATGTCATGCACTGACCACCTCTCCGCTTCTTCCAACCAGTCCCAGAGTCGGCAAATAATGCACGACGTGGAATTCTCTGGGACGACATTCGGAGAACATGTCCAAGCCACCGAGTCGCTTAGACTAGTGGCCATATTGCAAATTGGTCGATAACATTCTATCTGCACTAAGAAAGACTTGACACACATGACATTGATCGCCACCGAGTGATCAATCAATTGTGATTCTTTGTCTTCGCCCAAATGCTAAGCTTCTAATTTTATAATTTTTCATTTCACTAATTCATATTTTCTTGAATCGTATCTTCGATGCTTAATGCTTCCTTATGCATTTAAATACATAAAGATTGGTTCAAGGTACCAAATACATATGCTCCACACAAATCATTCGATATGTATTAGGGCTGGAATACTGCCCGGGCACCTAAACCGGAGTAAGTAGTTTTCTTAGGGAATCACTCCCCGAGCCTTTGACATACAGATCTAATCCACAAGACAGTGGAGCAACGTTAGAAGATTCAATGCCATGGTAGCCGGTGATCAACAGTAGGTTTATACACTACTTGTTCCCTCAGGATCCTGGAGCTTATTTGTGCTACCAGTTCGGAATCACAGTTTTCCAACTTCCCCAGGTATATCCACCGTACCCACCAACTCGGTTTAAGTGCCAGATATTTGCTTTTCATTTTCTGAATTTCGTAAACACCACCCCTGCCATGAGAAAACATTGAATAGGAATGAGTAAGACACTGATACTATGACTGCCTCTTCTACTCTGGTATTTAACGTAACAAATTCATATCTGTGCTAATGGGATATGCCAACTTAGACCGATGTATATATAGATTCTACATTGCGACTGAATGATATACAGTCTTAAATAACTTGACATATACATTTACATTCAAATCGACCAAAATCATTCTTTGTTACATGCAATAGATCTATTAAAGTAATCCAAAGGAATAGGTTTTTTTCATGTTATTCATTTTGAAATCTAATCGAAATCTTTCCTATAAAATGTTTTATTTTTATTTATCATTTTTATTCTCTATACTTTTCTTTTTTTTTCTCCTGCTTTACTTTCGTCTATCTATTCACAATTACAAACAAAATATAGGATGAGATCATTCATTTAAACTTCAATAAATTGTTAGATCAATATCTAAATATTCTATTATGTAATCCATTTGATTCTTCATGTAGTACTACTACTACATCTACTGATATTGTTGATGTAACAAATAATAATAATAATAGTAGTAGTAGTATAAGTATGGTATCATATCAGTTGATTGATACAAATGAATTTCAATTATACAAATTATTGGCATTATGTTCTCAGTCATCATTATCATCATCATCATCTTCAACATCATTGTTACCATGGGCGAATAAATTAAGTTCATTGAAAAAATGGCGATCTAATGAAGATCATTTACTACCTAATGAAACATTATATTTTAATCAACAATATTATTCTAAAACATCAATTTTAAATAATATGCAAAATTATAAAAAATTTCAATTTTCATTAACTACAGTTTGTTTAGCTCGATCTATTGAAACATTATTACATTATCAATTATGTATAAATCATAATCAAATGCCATCTATACAAATATGTTTAGATTTATTACTTACAACTAATGAATATTTATCAATTTGTTTAGAAGAATTCAAATCTATTCAGGTAATTTTTTTTTCTCTATGTTACATTTATTTTATATGATACAATTACATTTTTATTGGTAAATATTACTAAGGAGTTCCACAATAGGATGAAACAGCCGTCCAGTTCACAAGTTGATCTAAGCTAGAATACCTTTGAAAACCTGGAAGCATTAGACGGCCATTTCGTCCTAGTATGAGATTCTTCAACAGTGCGTATCCACAGTCCCGTTCGCGGGAACTTCAATCTCGTGCGCGAACGTTTAATCTTTAGATCACTGAGCTGAAATCCAATGGTGTTAATGAGATGTCGGTTCAGTGATCTAGAGACTATGATTTCATTCTGTGTTTGATTCCTGCAAGCAGGACCGCGGATGCGTCCCATACTAGGACGAAACGGTCGTTCAATGCTACCAGATTATAGCAACTCACGTGCAATCGAGTTTGTTCACATTTAATTCGGTTAAGTCATTTTGTTAACTTATTAACGAACTGAGTCATCCGTACAACAACAATTTATCTATATCATTGTATCTTTATTACAGTTTCGAATGTATGAACATGTATGCTTGAGCATTGCTTAGTGCCTACGCATTTATTCACGCTGCTAGCCTTACTACTAACCGTTTTTAATTGATTCGATGATTCATTCATTTCACTATGTATGTATATGTCCATGTTATTCATGTTCATTGCTCTCTTCGCTTACTCGTACTCATATTCGCTGACTCACTCACCCGCTCGCTTGCCTGCTTGCCTTTCGGCACAACTCTTTCATCCTTGTTTAACACACCTGTAATTTTGGATATCTGTGTATGGTCCCATAATAAGCGTAATCAACACTTCGTATTCGCCTTCTGATTAATATACCATTGGTGCGTTATCTAGTGACGGTTATCAAGACGAACTGTATATAAAGTTTAAGGATTATATTGAATACCGACCACCACAAGGTTTTCAACAGTATTTTCTAGCTTAGATCGACTTGTGAATTTAACAGTTAAAATATTACAATTTCCACAAATCCCCATACTGATAAATATACTTTTATTTACCCTTCTAAGATACATTATTGTTTTTTTGAGGGAGTCTGGAGAGCAGCATATATGGGAAAATTGAGAAGAGAGAAGAATAAGGGAAAACATGAGTTGATGATTTATTTAGTTCATAAAATGCATTTGTCATCTAACAATGAAAACAATCGATTGCAATAAGCAATGATACAAGAACACGATTCAAAGTATATAACGATTGAAACTAGAAATGAATAAAATCACAGATACGTTACACGTTCAAGTGAGAAATTATGATTAGTGGGGTTCAACCATTTCACGGATAAGGTAGTAACACTCAATCACTTTAAATCAACATTACACTGAATAAATGAATCTTTAAAATGTTGACCATTAGATTGTTGCTTAGTGTGTAATCTTACGTTCTAGATTGTAGATGCACATTGTTGGAGAATCTCAAACTAGGTCAAAACATCTGTCTAGTCCTTTTTGGTTTACCATAGTTCCTCATAACTCATAATCATCTTACTAACAATGATACAGATGCATTCATTCCTTGTCTACCTCTAGATCTCGTACTCCACAAATATATGATAGAACTATTCCTCAAATCCATTCTTTCTTGTCGAATCATATTTTCTATACCTAGTTTTTTGTCCAATATCACTAATACTACTGCTGCTTCTGCCACATTGCTATTCATCTCTCTGTGTTAATGTGGCCTAGTAACTTGGATTGATGCATATATCTACCAGGTTCTATTTTACTTTTGACTAAGTGATTAATAGCTTCCTGGATAATGTCAGTTTACAATAGAAACTAATCTACACATATTATCAAACTGAAGTCGGAAGTGTAGACAATGTTTTCTTAAAAACTGACTAACTATATATATATGGAATCTGTCTAAAAAGTATCCTTCTTTCCGAGTTGTCATGATTCAGTTTTTATTATTCTGTGTCTATACCACAATTTGTATAGCTTCTCCCACTCTCCAAGTTCATAGACAAGTATAGATAGTTATCTTGATCAACTCATTGTAAATGCCGATGTAACAATGAAACAAAAACAGATGTTAAAAATATTTTTTATACTCAATTCGTTTCTTATTAATCTTGGAAATGTTGTGCAGTAGTTTTTGGTATACTTTTCTCGTCTAATAATCTAGTTTCATCTTCGTGAACTATTTTACGCAATGATTACATCATCTCTTCATCTCACTAAACAGATCCATAGTTTGGTATAATTTCTAAAATATTAAATCCTGTCTCCTAACCTTGACATTAGTTATATACATTCTATCTATTATTACATGTAAAGCGTGTAGAGAAGTCATCGGAGAACAATCATATGAAGCATTTCCATTTCTGTTTGTCTGCCCATAATTTTTAATCTTGATGGGCGATCAGATATCCTTATGCTGTGATTAGTATAAGTTAATAATTGTAAACCATTGTTTCATAAGTGTATATGATTTGACTGTATTTCCTTAGTTAAAGATGAATCTTACTTTTTATTTCGAATTATTAATGGGAATTTTTAAACTATTATTACTGTAGTGAACGAGATTTCAGATGGGGAAAACCAATTTATTGTTTGATGCAAAATTACACAATGGCTTTGTAAAATATGAAAATCATGCATTAAATACGTCATTTGCATATCTTCTTTGCGTTGTCCTTTACATACTTCATGATTCTTTCAATTCTATTATTATTATTACAATTATTTACTGTTCTCTTCCATTCGATCTTCTGCTAACATACATTCCACTTCTGATTGTGGTCACATACTACTTGTATATGCTAGCATAAATGGCATATACCACATTACTACTACTACTAATTTTGTGGAAATTTTTATTAATACTATCAGTATTTTTTCCCTTGTCAGTTTTAAACAAAACATGTAACCAAGGTTTCTACATTATGTATCAGCACAGCCAGAGAGAGACCGTAAAAAAACTATTTTAAAGAATATATAAAACGATTAGTTCACCAAATGAATCCTTTTCCAAAGAGCTCATTTTCGAACCTCTGGATCTATTTATATGTATTTGAAATTAAAAGCTTATGAAGAATTGTATGCCTACGAGTCATATTTATCACAAACTGATTTTAGTTGGGGTATCCCAAAAAATCAGGGAGCACTAGACAGTTGTTTCCTCCTAGATTGGGACCTGAAGGTTTTGGGGTTGGTTTTTGGCGAGGTTGTGGATGCGCACTACTACGGATTACTATACTAGAGCAATACAGTTCCCTAGTTTTCTATAGTATTTCAACTGAGATTGATTTGACGAATGCGAATTAAAATCTTAGTAAATATGTAGATATTGCTCGATTCTACCTCATTTATTGCAAGTATATTTACTCAGCTTTTAATAACACCCTTACGCTCTTCTTTGTTTCTCCTAACAGGGTGATAAATTGGAATACTTAGACATAATTAATAATGTATTAAAACAAGTTTTACGTTATCTCCCATCGGATCTCACTCCTTATTCAATTACATCATCGTCAACTACTAGTTCACTCACGACTACAGAAAATGATAGCACCACCACCAACAACACAGCTGTCAATAAAGACATTTTGCGAATTTTTGTTAATTTACGTTTACACCAGTTAAACGTTATGCTTTTACGACATCATCATGGTGTAACATTTAAACGTGGCAAATCACAAACTCCTGCTTGGTTTACAATGATTACACAAGCTAGAACTACATTAGATTGGCATGCTTCTTATTTAGCTAGTAATACTAATATTATCACTTCTAAGGGGGAAGATAAACACTTGAACATTGATTTACAAGATGTGATTTTACATGTGACTTTGTTAAATCATCTTGTCAGTTTACAGACAGTAAATCAAGGTAAGTTTTACCCATATTAAATTCATATTTGTTTATTTGCTTTTTTAAAGGTAGGTAGTTTATGATAGGATGATTAGTTTCTAAATATTAATTAGTAATGAAGTTCTGTTTTTAATCTAAACTAATTCATATTGATTAATCAGTTTTGTATGATGTATTTTTGGGATTAGTAGCAACTAGTATTCTACTTTCCATACAATGGCTAAGAATAACATATTGTGCCCGCAGTGTCGAGTCACCTAGACTGGTGGCCACATTGCAACATGGTCGATAGCATTCGATCTGCACTAATAAGGACTAGACACGCATGACATTGATCGCCACCGAGTGATCAATCAATTGTGATACCGAAACTTATTTAACAGTTCACCTTTGTTAATTTATGTTGTTTTAGACATCCGTTATTGAATAATAAAACCCGTTTTCTAACCAGATTATGTTAGCTCATTCAAGTATTTAGTTCTGTTTGAAGTCTAATATGTTTCTTGGTTTTTAATTTAATCTATTTTATTGTACAGTGGTCAAATTAGTGTTGAAGACCAATAATATATTCATTGAGATTGTTGTAACGTTTGGTGATGTTGAGTTTTCTAAGCTAGATAATTTAATTGCACAGCATTTATTGTTGTTCTGGACAACATCATTAGGTCTTAATTCATGTAGAAGTGAACTTTTTAAGTTATTCCATCAGTCTTAAAACAGTTTGTCCTGGTGGTCTTGATTGTGTGTTAGTAGTTATTCTCGTAGATTTCATTATATTCAACTGCCTTTCTGTACAAGTTGACTTTTGACCAAGTTATCACTTCATCTTTTCCAAATTGATTAGTAGAGCAGGTATAAATTGATTTGTCCACTGATTGCCAATTGACTTGAATGCTATGCTTCCAGAAATGCTGTGACATGCTTGGGATTCTCATGATCCAGAATTTCAACGTTCTTCTAGTCCAATCCACCTTTGTAATTGTCTATATGTACTGATATCAGTGTCCTTCCACTGATAGTTTGTGTTCATGTGTGGATAGGAAGAGGGGATCCACTTTGTTTAACGTAGTATTTATCACAGTCGATGTAATTTATTTTGTAGACAATACTGAGTCTTTCTTCTGTCACTGTTGTATCTTATGGTCTATATAAAATAGAGCGGAGTGATTGTGTTGCTTCATGATCGATATTGATTTTAAAGGGTTTCAAAATCCTTGTGGTGATTCCTAAGGTGTTTTTCACATTTGGAAGGATCATACATTTTCTAATTCTTGAGATTCATTCTATGATGGTGGATTAATTCCTCAGACACTTTAATCTTCTATATTAGCCAGTTTTACAACAACAACAAAACAGACAGACAGATAAGTTTCTTCCATTTTTTTAATCTCCTGTATATCTTTAATCATTCACTCAAGAATAGTCCCAATATAGCAAATTTCCAGTTTAAAATATTTACATATCACCATCATTCATGTACACTTATCCTTTGTTCACTGAATCCTTTATCGAAAATCCATATTTTATTCTACCATTCTTCTTGTTTCTAGATGTATTATCTATATTCGGTATTCAAGCTATTCTTCGAGATATTTGTAGAATTCATCCTATCTTAAAATTATTGACCAGTTCTCCTGATTATTTTACAACAAATCCATTATATTCTAATCTACAAGGTCCCTTAAATTCAATTTCAAACAATTTAACCAAATTATGTGATACACTAGCTAGAAAATCACAAACTAAACGTGAAAATAAATCTGACTTAAAATTAACTAACAGTCAACATGTCAAAAAAACTAAACAAAAGAATAGTGGTAGTAACAACAATCGACTGATAGAACAAAACATCCCAGAAACTAATGATCATTATCATGAAAACTTTTCTCCAGAATCTTTATTATTGTCGAACATAAAAAAACAGCAACAACAACAGGATAATTTTTAACAACAAAACAAACTATGAATGAAGCAAACAATTCACCATCACCACAACCATCATATCAAGCATTCAATAATCACTGTCAAGTTCTACAATGTCAAATTGAACATTTAACTAAGTATTTAAGTGAATTATGAGAAATAAAAGCATGAAAAAAGAAGAGTAAATAATTATCCTACTCATATATTTATTTTTTTATTCACACTACCTAAGCTTTCTGTCCTCCTGTTTCATATGTAGAAATTTTATTCATTCCCTCTTGTATTTAACATAGATATTTCTCATTTTCATTTGTATAATACACGATTATTATTATTATTATTGTCTTTATAGCCTTCATATTCTTTGAAAGTAACTTTGTTTGCGTTTTACACTTTGCATAAACTAATTCAAGATGAATGTATTTTTGATTATTTACGGAGGGGAGGAGTTGAATGTGTTGAAACACATTTTTAAATCAATATAAACTTCCACTACTTTTAAGATGTATAATATATTGATAATAGGATAACCTTGGGGGTTTCTTTAGTTGTGAAGTCTTTTAAATACATTCACAATTAACAAATTTGATTGAAATCATGAATCGATCAATGTTAGACTAACATTGAAAACCTGGAAGCACTGGATGACCATTTCGTCGATTCATTATCTTAATTAAATACTTAACAATCTCCACAACTCCATACTGATAACTACCATGTGCTCACTAGTGACTGGCTTCGTAAGGAGTTTCTCGAAGTTATAGTAAGAAACATTCACAATTAACAAATTGTTATAGAGAATCTTGTCTTTTTATTCAAACGCTAGACTATAATTCTTGTGGATTAAAAACTTTATTAAGTGTTGAAAACAGGTTGATCAAATACTGTTCATTGTTCTACATTGTTTTGTAATTCATGTTTTAAAACGATATAGTTATCCGTCATGTAACTATTAAAGTGAAAATAACATTCTTTTGCAATTCAAAACAAAAACATAATAATTAGTCAGTATCATTTTATTCTGACTATGGTACTAATATACAAAGTACAGTTTCGTGTATTCGGCTTTGAGTCACAGTTTGTTGGAATGCTGGTGATACTTTTCAGCTGTTCAAATTGGATTAGGTAAAACGGGACTCGAACTTGTGACTTAGTGATTGAAAGTCGACTGTCGTAACTACTAAGTCACTACTCTAAAGTAAGTATCTTTGTAGCTGCTATGTTCAATCAATGGGTGCATCCAAATATAAACGACACGATGATATAAACAATGAAAAGTTTCACCAACTAAAATGTACGAATGCAGATAGTGAATTTTTATGCAATGTTTTTTTCACTATTCTTAGTGAAATGTGTCTCAGCCAAACACATAGATCTAAGCGTGTGCGTTGTTTTTTTGAGACCAGGTTCATTTGGAATACGCTTTTAGTTCCAGGAAAGATGATGCATACCAACGTTCAGATGAAGTACAATCCAACACCACTTGATGAGGTTTCTGTCGGATCGGAAAACATAACGATATGTTCGATGTTCAAGAGATAAAAACACAATTAATGGTACGAAAAGCTAAACACTGAGCAACAGCTTAGCTCTTACCTCATGTTTGATAAAATAAACTTCAAAGCTAATAGGACAGCCAACTAAGACTACGTATATGACAAGAAGGCCCCCTCTCCATGCTTATCCAATTATCACTACACATTCTTGGGTTCTTATCTGATAACATTCAGTTGAAGTGAACCTATCGGTGCTGCAATCCCTGGAGGGGATATTTGTGGGTCCCCCTCTCTTTTAGGTTCTTGAAATATAACTTCATATATATCCATATTCATGTTGAGAACTGACTCAGTAACATGTGTTTATTTATTAGATACTCCAGCAGTGGATTATACTTTTAAGAGCTTGGGAAAACATTTCCCCTTCTACTGTAAATTATGGATCGCAGAAATAAAAATACTACGGAGAATTATGCGTTATCTTTCCACGTGTCCAACTATTAAAATCAGACATAAAATCCAAGTTGTTTCTTTTGTATTTTTAGGACTGGTCTAAGTCAACCTCTGAACTGATGATAGGGAGCGAAGCGAGCGTGTCGACCACTCCACTTATTGCAAAAATTCAGAAAGCTCGTTTGGTTTTTATAAACCCGCGTCATCTGTGGCACAGATAGGATGTCGGTCAGCCAACCAAAAGACGAGTTTACTGTATAGCGACTCTCCTTGTCCTGCTTTGAGTTTGAAATGTGGTCATTAAGAGTAGAGGATAATTTGCAGGCTGTGTTACACGATATATGCCTCAGAACCATTGCTCATGTAGTTTAGGACCACTGAGTGAACAACTCTTAGGAATAGGGTACCAAATAAAGATGGCAAATCGACTGAGGCGGTTGGACATGTAAAACAAGTACCTAACGGCCGCCTACCTCAACAGGCGATGTTTGTTAGTGTAGGAGTACACTACAAAGCTAGGTGTGGTTAAACTAAGACCTGGCGTTAGTTCATGAAGCCACTAACACTCGGATCGAGCCATGTAAGTACATAGTACCCGGTTGATGGTCCGCATGATGATCGTAACCTATCGTTAGACTTTGGATGACATGGCTCACAATCGTTTGCAATGGCTAAGATGCACTCACTCTTCCCTTGTAGTGGACGCTACTCGCAAGATTGTTTGTAAGTAGTGTATGGCGGGACGTAGCGTCGAAGTTGCAAAATTTGTTAGACGGAGTGAAGAGTTTTAGTTCATCGAAAGCACGAAAGATCAGACGAGAAATCCGTTTAGACTTCAGAACACACCGATGGATGATTGAAGGCTATGTATTATGTAAATGCTTTGTAACTTATAATAAACATACAATCCCTCAGTCCGTTGACGTGTTCTTGAGAACAGAAATCTCCTTGTCTCTCTTTGTTTTCACTTAACATTCCTTACTACCACTAATGATGTTACTACTACTATTACTCTAGGATTTGTCTCGCCATGCGGATGTGGTGTGGCAACTTAGGATGAAGCATGTGTCATATTCTATGTTGCACATAACTGACTGATTTTCATTCAATCTCTTAAAGACAATGGTACTTTTATTTTATTTATGATATAATCTCATGTAGTTGGCTTCGGGCAATACAAACAGGTATAATGAACGCGGGGTTTAGTACAAATGTGCTTTAAATAAAGTTCTTATACCATTTTAGCACGACGAGATGAAATTAACAATATATATATATAATGAGGAAGATTAAATATTGGGAGTGTAGTTTCAAAAGATGGAATGAAAAGATGTGTGAAGAAATACTGGAATTCAATGTCTGTAAGATTGAATGCATTTACGCCACTGTGACCGATTTCGAGCCACGTCATAAATTGATACCTAACTCTCATTCAACCTACTTCAATACTACCAAACGTCGGGTATCGATATAGGTAATCATTAATCATACATAATAATATACGGATCCTCAAACCGAAGTAGGTGGAGAAAGGGATTGAAACCCAGTCCATTTGAAGGATAAGTTCTTTAATCATTTAGTTAGTGTGTGGTATGCAAGACGTGCCAGTTTACTATCGTAATTTTGGTAAGCCGGTAAGTTTATAGATTAAGTTGCCAATAAAAACTTGAACAAAAAACACAACGATCTGTAAAACTACAAACTTCACTTGTTTTTTAACTAGGCAAATTCTTTTCCGATTTTAAATATACATTTTATGTATATATGTACGTTGGATTTATTCACAGGATATAAGGGGGAAAAGGTTTTATTTAAAACGAATAATGATATAGCACGCGTTCGAACGAATGACAAAAAAAATCTAAATGGATAAACAAGTGAATAGATATTAAGATGAGAAAAAAAGGAACAAGTTCCGAATAGTGATTTACAAGGATTTCAGCGGAGAAACAAAGGAAAGTTATTTCTTGTACACATACATCAAAACTTCAATGGTAAAGTAACTACAGTTTATTTTACCAGGAAAGATATGCGTAGAAGTGTCTGTGGTGAAAGTCAAGTGTGAAATTTTAAGATAAAAAATTAGTCTTCTGGGTTATTTCTCTTCACACCATTCATTTTCTTTCTTAACCTAAAGAAACAATAAAACATGAAAAATAGGAAATAAACCATTTAACAAAGAAATAATTTATTCGTATGTGCTACAGAAGAGTGGATCAGTGGCTTAATGATTAAGGTGTTCAACTTTCAGCCACCGATCTCCAGGTTTGAACCCCGTTCCACATACTTTTTTTTGGGCAACCAGAGTAGTATCACTAGCTTCCATATTTGGAGTATGGCTCATAACCAGCTTAAGAAAAAACAGATGTGGGGCGTTAACCTTTGTTGGTAAATACGCTTGACCCCAAGAAGATTCTTTTAAGAAATCTTGGTACGTCTGAACTAACCCTGAATCTATCCGCTAAAGCGCATTACTGCTGAAGTGTTGTCAGTCGGTATTTATATCGGTTGTACAAGGTGATATTTTGGATTCAGTTAACTTATTTGCGAATCCAAGAGTACTCATTATATTTATTGAACAAATTACTACTAAATCTCTCGATCATCACTTATAACAAAACATTAATGTCATTTGGTGAGAAGTATTAAATTGACGTTTCCTACTAGATAGTGGTCTTTCTACTTTGCATACAGATAGACGTTACCTGATTTGAATAAAAGCTTTTAACAATAAGATGAGAAACAGTAAGAGACAGGCAAATAAATAAGTCTAAGGAGTTAAACGGCTCCGGGATACAGACAAAGTCCTAGGGATAGAAAATTATGTAAAAGTCGATAAAAATTGTTCGGATTAGGCAACATAATAATGGTTACGGCATTGGAAAATACTAAATTGTGAATATCCAACAATCAGCTTCCAAATAACTTTTCCAACAGTAAAAACTATTATAATGAACTGATGAGACGGCAATTAAGTTGATGATTGAGTCAAGAGGCTAGTAAACATGAGATCATGAATGATGATGAGTGTTCGCAAATGGTTACTTAGAAGATATGAGAAGGAGTGTATTACCTGTTTAGTGATTATCAGCATGATGTTTCCTTTTAAACGTAAAACCACATATTTCGTCGGCACGAAAAGAGTATCGTATTGTTTAGTCAAGAGATGAACTATAAAAGTATGTATAAAAAGCTTGCTAGTGTTTTAAATGGTTTTTTGAAAGGATATTCAGTGAGACTTTCATTTATGGACGACCTTTAAGCGACGCCAAATTGACCTTGTGAATGTCCACTTTCTAACTAGAACTAC